TTAGTTTAAAGTCCATATATAATTTGTTTGAACTGCAAGTGCCAGGCTTAAAATTTAAGAAATTCGGTAAGAGTGTCTTAAATTTATATACAGTAAGAGCTTTGTAAGAGTAAGTAAGTAAGAGTAAGAGTAAGTAAGGAACATTAAGGGACACTGCTGTTAACTATGTAGTATTGCTGGTATCCAAAATTAATATTTTATGAAATGAAAATAATCTTTTAAATGGACACTATTCTAAACCGGATAAAATTACTGTTCCATATTACTGATCCAGCCAAAGAAAATTTGAATTGTCTGTCCCTATTTGCACTTATATTTGTTTATATTGTATTCACTTATATTAATAAATTAATTGATAAGTTTGTGTATTTACCTATGCTATCTCCTACTGGTTATCGACCTTATTCTATTGTAACCTTATAAAAACTACAGTCTATTAATTTACATTTGGTTGTTGCTACCATAGTAGCAGCTACTTTTCAATTGGGCGGAACTGGAGTCTACTAGTAAACAATAATTTTTATGTTTGAATAAAATAAATATGAAATTAAATAGTGCGAAATAAATAGTACTGAACTAAACTGTTCCCTTAAAATTGTTTGAAAGTTTTTTTTTTGTGACATTAAAATGTATTGAATCAATATATATAATTATTATTAAATATTAAATAATATTTTTAAATGTCTAATATGAACGTAATTTGTTACGTATAACCTTTTCTTTAACAATTGTAACTAATAATTAAATTAAATCTTAATTAAATGAAACTTAATACAATATATATAACTTGTCTATACCTTAAAAGCAATGAAAAAAGTTTTTAAAAACTCTACGATAATGTAACGAATTTATTATATTAATGCTACTAATGTTGATAAAATTTTATATTAAAAAATTTTTAATTTATTTCCTTGCAATAGACCTTTTTAGGAGCGATGGGTATGGTCGGTGGTAGCAACTTTATATTTCCACGTTTTTATCGTCATACATTCGCAATTGCGGTAGACACATTCGAAGATGCAACAATAATAAGAATATTTACAACAATAGGCAATTGGCATTTCGCCAAAGATTATCCAGATAAAGTAGCAATACTTGCCAGAGTAAGTTCATATATTAAAAATCGTTGATATTGTATGTATGTATATATGCACGTATACTATTTTGATACTTTTTTATTCGGAAAATAACTCACATTTAAATGTATTTATTAAAACAAAATGAAGTTGACAAATTAATACAGTTTGCTTAATAACTCAATTTGTATGCACTTTATATCATTTTTATTATTTCTTTTTTATTTTATTTATCATGCATTTGTGCTTTTGTCCATTTTTTCTAGGGATTGGCAGAAGCGATGACCAACGTTTATCGAGAGGCTATTAGAGTTTTCCTGCCAACTCCAGCAAAATCTCATTATACATTTTCACTACGTGACATCACTCGTGTCTTCCAGGGTATTGTCAAAGTGCCAGCGAAACGTTTGCCTGATGTTGAGAAGTTAGGACGATTGTGGGTTCATGAAACTTATCGTGTATTTTATGACCGGTAAGTTTATATTGGCTTTTTTACTTAATTTTATAGGCTTTGTAATTGTGCATTCACTTTTACAACTTCAACATTTAAAACAACTGAATTATTGTGTATAAAATTGTATTAACTGAAAGAAAGTATTAACTTTTTTGTGGAGTTTATTAAATATTTTAATACTGCTTCATAACAAATTATTAAAAATAAATTTAAAATGCACGGTGACGTTTTCATAAGATTTTTTACATTTTAAGATACATAATTATCCATTAAAATAATCAAAAGTGTGATCAGTTGAACTATGCAATTTTAATATAATAATAAATTGTAAACGTTATTAATGAATTTTATTTATTTAATGTATTAGTTTTATATAGAAAACTACAAAAAATTGATTCTGAAATACACATTTTTAGTCACCTTTTCAAGTAAATCTGTATTTATATTACTAATGAATGAATGAGTAAACAAATTATTTAACATAGATAGGGTTGGGTTGGAGTAAGTTGTGGGTTGGAGGTGGTTTGGAGTAGCGGCCTTGTTTCCAAAAAGCCGAGTTGAGCTCAAATAATGGCCCATTGTAGTAACACTGGAATGGCATTG